CCTGTCGTGGCAAACCTCAACGCAGCTTGTCAGCCAGGGCTCCAGCCTGCGCTGCCGTGCCAGAGAGAGCCCCCCTAGCCCAGCGAGGCACGCATTCCTGGGCACCTACAGCTGTTCATTCGCCTAAACTTCATTTAAGCTTTAGAGAAGGTGATCATGTTAACGTGGTTGTGCTTCTGAAATAGGGTATGGGACTTGGCTGGAAATGTTGCAGAATTTGCTACTTGGCCTTAAAACAGAGGCTCTTCAGATCATGCCATTTCCCTCATTTTGTCTTGTATTGTTTCAGCTGTGGAAGCTGCCACAGTAATTTCCCTTCCTGATATACAAGAATATGCTTTTATACAACCTTCTCAAGAGAAGATAATGGAAAGAAGCGTTACGTTTGTAAGTCCTGTTTGAATTCCGTGATTGCATAGGAAATGTGTTCTAATTGTCTCCAGGGTCCTTTGCCAAGGAATAAGAGAGCCTCCCTTGTATATCCCTTCCCTTCTCTTTGTTCTCGGCCCTGCATTAGCTGGTGTTGACCAGGGTTGGGTGTTTTTAGCTTGCTAGTGCAAAATGTCTAGGACAATATCTGTGTGTGTAAATGCTGGTGTGTTGTCTCAGTTGCACGTACCAGAGATAAGAGAAATTTGTTCTTCAAGATGATGAGAAAGGGGATGTTTTGGATTCAGCTGGTAGCTTTCCCAGTATTTGATTGCAATCATATGTGGGATTTTCACCTAGCCCTGTTTTCAGATGTGAATGATTATCAAGGCCATAACATCCTTCCTTTTGAATGGCAGTCCCCCAGAAACAAAAGGAAACATGCAGTTTCAGATACTCTGCTGTGTATCTTAGACTTGCAGTAGCAAGTCATTATGAAAAGCCAGCCCTTAACAACTGTTTTTGTGTCCTGTTGCTTTAATTTATATCCAAGTGAAAGAGACAGAGATAGAGTTATAAGTATAACTTAACCATTTTAATAAATCTTATACAGTGCATGGTTATATCATTTTATCCTTCGTTCAATTACATTAATGTACAGTACATTATAGCATTATCTGCAGGCAGTACAAATATAACATGCACAGCTCAGTCATATGGAAATTTTTAAAAGTGACTTCTGCAATAAGGTCTACTGATATATTTATTTTACAAAATGCTCCTGTGGCTCCTGCCTTTACAGAACTGTCGTGTACCTCTCTATAATAACCCAAGTAACTATAATTCTGTGTGATTTGTTTTCCTTTATATCCAAAGACAAGAATGGTGTCATATTTCCTAGCTCACCATTTTTTATTTTCATTTTAGAAATTATTTAGCCTCCTGTGCTTGTAACACCAATGGTTTGCCAGTGTTCACACCTGCTTCCCATTCACCCTAATCCAGAGACAGGGCTTCTCAGGAGGATTGTTCTCTTCATCCCCCCTGACAAGGTGAGTGCTCTTTGCAAATTCCAGCTGCTGTGGCAAGCCAGCAGGGTTGTGACTGAAAACATGATCCTCCTCTGTAAGTTCCCTCCTGCACCCTAATTCTGCTGGTGCTAACAATGTCCGATTTCAAGATTAAGAAAATATATCATCCATTAGAAACATTTTTGGAAGAACAAAGCCAAAATTGAGAGGTGCCTCAGTATTCTCAGGTTTAGACATGCGTTCCCCAGCCACTGCTTTACAGCTGTACAGCTTTTTCCATTAGATGTGCAAGGACAGGCCCAAATCGTGCAAAGACTTAGGCACGTGCTTAACCTTTCAAGGAGGTGGGACCATTCATAGCACGTAAAGGAAAGCACACGTGCAAGTCTTTGTGGAGCCTGGGCCTGAATTCCCATTCAACCACAGTTAAGGTGTGTGAATGAGAGAGAAAGACAAGGTCTTCCTGGTCTGTGAGCAGTTCCTGTAGTTGTGTTTGCTTTACTGCATTCCTATCAAGTTGGTCTGTAAGTAAAATATAGATGTAAATACCATGTGCCAGACTTGCTGTGGACAGGAAATCTACTATATGCTTGCTTGAGCTTTTAAAACTTTGAGTAAATTATTGATGCATAATCACTTTATTATGTCCCTAGGGAAAGGGATTTTTTTCCTCATCCCTATTTATAGATTGTAAGAGTGAGGGGGTACTTCACTATATAGATATATACATATGCACATAACGTTATTAAGAAAAGCAGGAAGTGAAGAAAAACAGCCTCTACTAAATTAGATTTTTTTTTTTTCTTGTGGCCATTTATTTTTAGTAAAACAAGTGTGCTTTTGTTTCTCAGATATTTAGGAAGCATTTCAGATTACTCTTTGCAATGAAAATGTGAAGGTGGGGACGAGTGGCCAACACCTGGGGAAGGGCTTTGGGTGTGACTAGCTGGGGGGGCAAATGGTAGGGGCTTATCTTCTCCTTGTTTGAGGCCTGGCTTTGGCAATACTGCAACTTTCCGATACAGGATCAGTGCCAAGGTGAAGGGCTGCGCAGCTGCCCTGAGCCCCAGCCTCTGCGTAAGCAGGGATGATCAGGCTGAGCTCACCGATTTGCAGATTCAAATCACTTCAGTTGTCACTCAGATCCTGCGCATTATTACACAATGAAAGCCCATTTCCACTGTTCAAAGACAGCACTAACTGGTACATGTATTTAAGGAAGCACCCAGTCTTAGGTAACTTGTGTTCCAATTCTAGCCGTGTCGAACGAGAGGGCATGGGGGGGACAGAAAAAGGACAGTGAACTGTCACAGGGCCTTTGCTAGTGGGCTGCAGGGGATATCTGTCACAGAGAAGGAAATGAAAAGTGGGGGAAAAGACTGATTTCTGTGGTCCAGACTCTAAACATTCAGGCTGGCTTGTTCTGTGCTGTGTGCCATGCCCTCTCTTCCCGAGCCATGCCGGCAAGGGGCGTGGGAGCAGGTACAGCCCTCTGAGAAAAGCTTTGTGGGGTCTTTTTTTGCTTGAATCCAGCCATTGTTGTACATTCAGACACATGTAAATTCTGATCTGCTCTGATCGCATGCACATAAAATTTCAGTATAAAATATATAGTTATAAAAAAAAAAATACTTCATGCAGTGTTAAAACACCTTTCCCAATGGGACATGGTCTTATTGTCTACCCTTATCAACAGTGTTCAAGAAATTGTCACTTTGATGGCAATTACACCGCTAAGTGGAGCACTGCTGTCTCTTGTCTGGAGTGGGGATCATTGCTTTCATTCCCTTTTTCTGCACTACTATGACTAATAGCTGAAATAAAGCAGATAGATTTTAATTAGCGGAATCAATCCTTTCCTGGCGACGCTTCATGATTTCTTGGAGCTCTGTCTCCCCTCTGCTTTTCTAGAATGGAAACAAAACAGGAAGTTTGAATTTTAACTTCAAGCTGTAGTTAAATTGTAATATTTAACTAATGCTGCAAGAGTAGAGCTAGTTTCAAAGGGATGAGTGATACCAGTAAGAAGGCAGTTTCATTAGTGGAGACAGGGTGATCTGCCTTACAGATTTGAGGCCTTTTTGCTTAAAAGACTTCTCAGCATTTTTAGGTGGTGTGGTTTTTTGGTTGTGTGGGTTTTGCTTGTTTTTTGTTTTGTTTTTGTTTTTTTTTTTTTAAATTGTGTTTCTTAAAATATCTGTTTAATGGGATATTTGACACTGCTGGTACAGGCACCCAACTCAGGTAGGAGTTGTCCAGAAAGCTACTTACCTCCAGTTGGTTCTTCTCCACTGTGATTTTACTGTATACTCTGTTTCCCTCATCACCACACACTTTCTTCAACTCCTCTCTGTTCAGGGAGAAGAGCTGAGCTCCAGTAAGGATGCCAAGGTGTTCCACTGTCCTGGGAAGACACAAAGTGAGGAAATTATAATTGTGCTACGCGTGGCCTCTTGCCAAAGGTGAGGAGTCAGAGATAAAAGGGCTGGTAGCAGCTGACGTGCAGCCCCTGCACCAGGACCATATCACATGCAAGGCCCTGGGGCTGTGCCAAGGTGGCAGCTGTTGGGTAACCCAAACTCTTGGCGGGGATGACAGCAAGCCATGAGGAGCGGGTGAAGCCAGCGTCACCCTGGCATCCACTGTGTGCCCAGCCCCGTGGGTATTGCAGTGGTTTCACTCCAGTTGCATCGCATTTGGGAAGCAATCCTGGAGCTCCTCTTCGCTTGCTGTGCAGAGTGTGAGTTGTAACTCGTAACTCTTCACCACATGCAGCTTTTTGGTCCTGCCCTGGTGGCAGGGAATACTTGCTAGCCCCGGCTGAGGGTCTGGCTCTTCCTCAGAGATGCTTTACAACAGCTTCTCCAGAGACAGGCGGGCATCTGGAATTTGCATTTCAGGCCATGGGTTTAGTTATTTATTTTTCTCCAAGTTCAGCACTCTGAACTGGCTAACTGGGGCCAGACAGGCACCAGCAGTAGGATGTTGTGCAGCGTTTGGCTGTGAGTTGTGCGAATAAGCAAGACTGTTCCTTTATTTGCAGCTACTCATTACGTCTTTTGCTGCACTGTAAGACAAGGTTTATTTGATAGTGTATACGAAAGAAAGGCAGTAAGTTTGGGCTCTGAATGTGCTGGTTATATAGCCTGGATTTAATATGACTGAAATCTAATTTGCAACACAGGCTCTGTAAGTAAATACAAGTGACTTGTAATCCAGTTGAAATACTGCAAGCTGCCTCCCCCACTCCTTTTTAAATGAAGGGCCAGCATTTCATATGGTAGTAAAGCAGATCTTACTCTTTGCTGAATGACTTTGCCTCAAGCCAAGCTTTGACTTCTTCAGTGCTGGATTCGAAGGTGAGGGGCACAAAAACTTGCTGAGGCTTTTCCACTTTGAAATTCCTCTGGGGAGGCTGAATTTTATTGTTTGTGATCTTCTTTAGCAACTCATCATTCAGCTCATCCATTTGATGAATAAGTTCTGGGGAAACAAGGCACAAGGTAGAGAGTAGGGAATAAAATCAAGTCTTCAGTCATAAATCCTATTAAATTAATGTGTTTGCAGGGAAAATGTAAGGAAGATCAAAATGTGGCTCAGCATTTTTATTAACTCTGTAAATACAGCAAAGGAAACTGCTTGCTTTTGTGTTTTAGTTTTAAAGAACAAGCTTAGGTGCTTTTAGAGCAATAGGTTGAGAAACAATATTTTGACCTTCAAACTTCCATCAGGAACAAATGTGTAAAGGGAGACTGCCACAGTTTGGAGGCTGGCAGACTGCTGGAGCAGACTGTGGGAATCTCCCCTTTCCTCCCAAGCCAATACTCTCAACTTTCTTCAGCTTTTGAAACCTCACTTGCTCTTTGGGAGAAACCTAGATTTCTGTAGTTCTTCTCCAGAATGATGGAGAGGAAGAATCGCAAAATAACAGCCAAATGCTCATCGTCCACACAGCGATCGCTGAATCTAAAAAGCTGCTGAAGGGTTTCTTGCAGCATGACTGTCCCCCAGGACAAGAGCATGGTTTGGTACAAGCACTTGCACATCTGCGATTTTGCCTCATTGCTTCAACAACGTCCATTAGGCTAATTGGAGAGTCTTGGAACAACTGCTGCTCTTCCTGGGAGAAAGGAAATCTGGTTCTGATGTTGACCAGCATTGATATAGCTGTATAATTTCTAGAGAAAAGTGTATTCTCTGTCATGGTATGTAACAGCAGGCTCTGAGCTGTCTCATTTAATAAGCACATATTCCCCAGTCCATGTTTAACTGAGTAGAGATTGGTCTGATGTGAAAAAGGAGAGCTCACATCTTCAGAGGCACTTGCTTTTAGCTAGCAGGAGCAAAACTACCCATCAATTTGCCTGGAAAATTCTTGTTCAGAAGCACTTATTGGGGGAAAAGTGTGTCATATTTGGTAAAATAATAGAACATTTTGAGGAGAACATATTCATTTTGTGTGACTGGTGTCTGTAGCAGGTGCTGGTAAGGACCTACATTTTCACCTATTTTATATATAAATTTATATTGGGATCGATCTTGTTTCTCATGTTGCTAACCTATCCTGTTCATCACACCTCATTCAAAGGACATAAAACCCTGCAACACCAACTAGCAGAAGTTTGCTCAAGGGTATAAAACCTGACCTGGCAGTGTCTTTGCTTCCACTGGTGCTGTCAGGTGGTGACAAGGGACAGGGTCCCTTTTCCCTGGTGTCTGGTGTTGCTGCTGTGTTTTTGCTTTAGTTTGTCATCTTCCTGTTTTTGAGTTGCTTAGTTCCCTTCGGGCTATTGAAATACGGAAATTGCCCTGCAAATTTAGCAGCAGGGAGGGGAAAAAACCCAGACCACGTGAGACAGTAGAACTCAGGGAAGCCTGACTATCTGCTTCTGAGAACCAGGTTCCCGTTTTTGTGTGCCTCTGTGTTGCCATTTATTTTCTTCCCATTGCCCCTTTGCTGTCACCTGATGTGGAAGGCCAATTGTGTGAGTACCTACAATTAGCGTCTTGTTTCTGAGCTGTACCCCTGCTCCCTCCACTTTTCAGTCCTCTCTGTTACTTCTAGTAAGTGATTTGCTGATCCAAGTCCTCAGATCTCCAGCTTTTGCTGTGGAGCATGGCAGGAGGCATGAACTGGGAGTGAACAGCACGCTCATAAAACTCCAGTGACACATTATTCAGTATCACTTTTTCCATGAAACTCCTGAAGACTGTGGAGAATAACTCAGTGTTATTAATAGATAGGTGTCTGCGATGCTTGTATTATGGGCTTTCTGTTGTCCCAAAAGGGTTCCTGCTTCCAGGAGTCTACGGTAGCTGAACAGGGGATGAATCCTGGTTTTGGCCTCTGGGTGACAGCTTGCGAGAGGTGTACGCAGGGTGTGATAAGGGGGCGAGATGAGCAGGGCTCCTGGTCTTTCTCATGTTCTGTGACCCCGCATAGCACGCGCAGTGTGAGGGAGTGATGTGAATCTCGTGTTTGGCAGATCTGCTGGCCGGGGTTTCTCTGAAACCACTTGAAAGAACAGGCCAGGCGGGCACTGTGTGTGTGGCAGGAGACAAGAGCAAAGCAAGTGAGAGAAAGGGATTGACCTGAATGTGGATGGTTGCTTAGACACACTTAAACATGTTGGTGGGGAAAGGAAACTCTCTCCTTGGGAGAAGGAGGGAGGTCAAGCTGGAAGGAAGGTCAAGCTGAAAGCCCTGCTTGTCCCAGGCTGCCTGAGAGCCTGTGATGTGAGTCAGTGAGCTCCTCAGAGCTCTGTTGGCTGTTGTACCACCTGGAACCTCCTCTGTACATCTCCTCCAAAACCAGTGCTGGTCTATTGCTTATCACTAAAAGCTGCAGTCACTCCTTGTGCAGAGCCTTATGAGAGAGAACACACACTTGGGTAGGTCTGGTTACATGCACACAGCAACCAAAAATTGTGGACAGCCCATTATGGTGAAAGTAAAGAAAGAAAGAAAACCACCGGGATAGAGAGGAAGCAAAAGCATGTGCTCACAGAAACTTTTCAATTAAGTCCTGAAATGCAAAGCTGCGGTGCCAAGCTCTCTGGCTGCCTGAGGCTGCTACGTGTGGTGTAAAATGTGCCCGGATGCTGGGAGCGCGATGTGGGACACATACGTTCTTTGGCGTCCTGGGGAGAGTTGCGCGATAACATTTCACTTCCCCATTTATCCCCAGCGTAGCTGGCAGGTAGCTTGTGAGTTGGGCTGGATGGTCCATATCCCCTGGGGCTCAGGTCTCCTTTGTACCTCTGGTTAGACAAGGTGATAAGAAAGGGAAAAAAAAAAGTGTAAGAATTTTTTTGCCATTTTTGATTTTCTTAAACTTTTTGCCTCCCACCCACGATAGCAAATTGAGGGACAAATTGCCATATTCTCCCTGTGCTGATCTGGGGCTGCTCAGCTGAGGCTGATGTGACCTCAGGTGGAGCTGCATGAAGAAGTTAATTTCTGGGGTCTCGTGGGAATGAACAGAACCTAAGCCAAAGGCTGAAGACTGCGTGAAGGCATTTACACCCCTGGAAAACATGTCACACTCACCACACGGAGAGCAGTGGTGTTTTATGCTTGCTTACTACTGCGGTGGATGACTGCTCTCACATGCGTGCCTCGGCCCTTTAGCCTTTTGCTCTGCAGAAATTACTGCTCATAGAACTTCCTTGCAGATGGAGAGCAAAGGAAGCAAAAGGATTTTTATATGCAGAGAAAACAAACAGAAATCCCTTTTGAAGCTAAAGCATCACAGCTGTAGTAACTTGGTGTTAAGTGGGACCACTGCCAAGTGCCCGGAGCAGCCTGGAAAGAGTTTTTTGACATTTTGATTAAACTAACAGGGCTTTTATCCAGAGGCCTGCTGGGGCACCTTATGCTTTGCCCAAGCTGTGAAATACCAAAGTGGGGAAGCAATGCCATGCTTCCTTAGGGCATTTAGAGGTCTCCAGCTCCACATTTTTGCAATGCAAGGTGCTTAAGGGCAATATTCACTTAATACTCACTTAGATGGTATTTCCATCTGCCGCCACTCCAGTAACTTGTTCCTGCTGCTGAACTGGATGAGGGAACTGTCTGTCTTTAATTTAACCCCCAACAAAAATCTCAGCATTTTGGTGGCAAAATTTGCTTTTATGGCTGCATTAGCTCTTTCGTCCTGTTCACAGCACAGCCCTGAAAGCAGCAGGGTTTCGCAGCAGAGGGGGTTGTAAACCATAGGCTGAGAAGTACGTGGGTTTGCGGGGAAGGCACTGGCAAAAGGTGGAAGTCTTTCAAGCCAGTGTAGCCAGCAGCTGTTTGGTGACACCTCAACATGAGACCTTTCTGTTGGGATGACAAGTCATGGTGCTAGGCTCGGGGTGGGTGTCCCTTCGAGCTAGGGTCTCACTTCATAGCAGGCTGCTGCCTATAGCACAGGACTCAGCCTTCGCCTGTCCCATAACCCTGACTGCCAGGCACTGTTGGCAGCAGGCAATGTGCTTGGCATCTTGGAGTGGGAGGAAAGCATGAGGCTGCCATGCAGATAGGAAGGATAGGTCTCGTTTGGGGAGGGGTAAACAGTAGCAAAATGTGAGAGTTTTATCATAGGAGACTCAGGAATCTCCAGGATCCTGGTTCATCTACTTGTGAGGGTTCATGCCAACTTGTGCACAGCATCCTAAGAAATCCAGAGAGGTCTAATTACAAGATTGTTCTCAGAGGCTGATTATGCCCTGCAGCCAGCTACCAGTTAAATATCACGTGACTACAGACCTGTTCGAGCTCTTCCAGTTTCACCACATCCAGGATATTATAAGGAACGTAACCAGCCTGCCCGCTTCGGTTGAGCAACTTCCACCACTGCTTATTATCTTCCAACACCTGAGAGGGGGGAAAAAAGATTTGCTAGTGAGAACATCAGATTTCTGGCATACATAAACAGCATATAGAGGAAATAAACCACACAGTAACGTGAAGTTGCCAGAGTAACATCACAACAGTCCAGGAGCTGGCAAACAGATCTATTGTACTCATTTGCAATTCAGGACTGAAGCCTTTCCTGAAAAGCATCAGAACTTATCCTAATGACGAACAGGAGAGCACCTCTGGAGGACAGATCTGGGGTGCTGAAGAACTCTTAGTTCCTACTTAATTTGCCTGTTTCTCCATCTTCTTTGTTTTTTTTCTTCAGTGACTGAGTTTATGTTGTCTTTTTGCATTAAAAAAAATAAATCAAGAGTGACTCCTGCCAAAGATGCTGGAGTGTTATCATATAACTTGATCATGTGTCACATCATAACCACGATGTGGCAAGGAGATTGCCAGTTGCTGAGATATCTCCTATTGTACCTGCCCCCCTGTTCCTTTCAGCAGGCTTGTTTTTACCCAGAACTGTGATTTTTTAATTTTTTTTTTTAAAGTAATCTCCCAGAATGGTTGAGCTTTGCTGGCAAGACCCACACATGTTTCTCATTCTAGCTTCATTTTGAACAGAGCTTTGAGTTTAGAACAGAAGTCTTTTTCTCAAGTCATAGATCTGTGTTACAGTTAGTGTGTAGACCAAGTCATGTCATACATTCTCCAATGGCCAACAGTGTTGTGGTAAGAGAAAGGTTATGAAAAAGGATGTTTTCATAGAAAACAATTCCTTTGGGGTGGGGGGGGTAATAATGAACATATGCCCAGCAAATGCATGAGCAGTGTACTACAGTGACTTGTTTTCCTTCCTCCTCATTGCTAATTAAGATGTGACTGATGTGTTTCAGCTGAGCAAATGACCCAATGCATATAGTCAGCCTGCTCCAGCTCAGACATAAAGCTTTAGATTTGAGCAAAGCTTCATATTACTGCTCAGAAAACATCAAGCAAAAATTAGTTGGCACTTGCCACTATCTTGAGATCTCTCTCCCGTCTGGGAAAGGGGAGGAGGGCACAGCTTTTCCTTGAGCATGTTCACTGACCTCCAGGATTTCATCCTTAAGCACTGAGAGTTCATTGGCATTTCGCGCGGTGAAATCATAGCGGATTTTGGCATATCTCTTCGGCAGAGCCATTCCCTGTGCCTCAAAATTCCTGCGGGAGAAAAAAAATGGAGTTTTGATGGAGGCCCATTTAATAACTAGGGCAGTATAGGTTCACTGGCAAAAGAGGAGCGCTGAAGACTGTGTGCCGGTGCAGGTAGAGAGACAGTTGTGTTAGGAGGGGACAGTGCCTCTTCGCTTCTCGATTTTGAGGAAGATTTTCACCCCTCATTTTAGTGAAACACCCTGTGTTTGGGGAAAAAACCAAACCAAAACAAAAGCTGTAGGGCTGTTTGGTTAATGGCCTTATTGGGGGACTGTGAGGCTGCTGCATTCAGGGTGGAAGAAAAGACGACTTCTGTCAGTTGGTTCTTTGCTGCAGCAAGGACTGGGGAGACTGACAAAGCACAAACAAAATGCTCTGATTGCACCTCCTGTGAAAAATAAGTGTGAAACCCTCATGTCCTGATAAGTGGAAACAACTGCCCCATATGCTAGAGCAGGGGAGAAGCAGGCACCAGCACTGGGAGAAAGGGTATTGAAAATGTGGGTAGGTAGAATTGACTGGAAATCTGTGGTTTTTTCATCAGGCAATGAATGCTGAGCTACTGAAACAGAATTCTGCGGATTCCCAGGAAACGTGAGTTTGAGTATTTCTATTCTGAGATACATTTGGTGTGGGGGGGGAAGGAATGTGTTTAAGTATTTTGCTTGGGAATTTCTGACAAATGAATATATGGCTTTCAATGTTGAACTGACTTTTCATTTGGAGAGAGAGACAAAATAAATATGGTAGCTTGTCAAAAATGGAAAATGGTGGAAAAAGTGCAATGAAAGGTTTCCTTTGACCCAAACTGAAATGATTTATTTTTTCATAGTGGTTTTTTTTTTTTTTTTTTTTTTTTGCCTGGCTTAGGAAAATTTTGTAGATCTCGTCCTTTTCTTCTCTGGTTAGGATGGGTGTGGTGTTATTTTTTAATTCAAAAAATGTTTGCAGTATGGAAAAACTGTCTTGCCTTGTTGTGTAAGGGCGGGTAGAAACTACTTTAATGCACCTTCTATGGATCTTTCTGCTTATGACTTCCAACCTGGACAGCTACCCGGTGCACAAGACTCTCGGGTGCGCTGTTCACAGTGGGCATGCCAACAAGGGGTCAGGTTCTCCTCCAGTTTATGTCAAATTCTGTGTAACTCAGTGAAGCCACTGAGTTACACAGCACTGCTAGTAAGTATGGTTTTTAGCTTGATGTTTTTCCATTGCCGAGTTCTTGGGTTAGGTCGGTGATTTTAAATCTATGAATCTGTGGAAACTTGGCTCTTTGTGGACTGCTTCTGAGGCATCTGTAAAACCTGACTGGGAAAAGCAAGCCCATTATGCTTAGTTTCAGTTCATTTTACTGTCTTCATTAGATAGCTTTTGGTGGCCTGAAAGAAGTTGAAACCGTTGTTCAGTGGTTTGATATGATGCCTATGGCTGTAGTGCCGTCTTTAGCTCACCTGATTTGGGTCAACTCTTGGTCTAGTTACAGCCATGTGCAATATATACATTTGACTTACTTATGTAAGTCTGCAGTGGGGGAGAGCTTGGAGCATACTCTCAGGCAGATTGAATCCACCAGTCAAGAAAGGGAGTGGTGGCCTTACCCAGCAGTGCCCTGAAGGCAGGGAGGGGGAGGAAAGCCGAGTTAGGTAGAAATTACTTCTTTTGTAGCATTCCAGAAGGTGAGTCATGAGGAAAGCGGTGACAGCTGGAGGAGTTTGAGGCTAATGTGTACTTTGCGTGCACCTAGGTTTTACACAAGCGACCTTTGCCAATTATTGTAATATTTCTTGGGGCTTTCATGACACTTCTCTGCAGCCAAAAGCCCTGGTGTAAATAATAATACTGATGCATGGGTATTTTTGTAATATAGGGTCTCTTCGTTAGAAAACTAGTTCAAACTACCTTGAAAAAAGCATGAGTAGAGCAGGAAATATGTCTGTCCCAGGACTGTGATCCTGGCAAACATCTGGGCAGACTTGGCTGAAGTCTGCTCTGGACTGAAGAAAGGCGTCTAAGGACATTCTCAATTTTAGCATCTGCTTCAGTGCCATTAACATTGATGTTTTTTTCTTGAATGTTATCCATAAGGAAAACTTGCTTGACAGTCTGAAAGGTAGGTGAAAAGGTACGACACCTATCCCAAGAGAAAAGAGATCCTCATCTATTCTTCCGTGAGCCCACGCTGTGGTTCGACTGGGTCGTGTGTCAGGGAAATTGTCACCTTGGTAAAAAGGCACGCTGTTAATTTGTATTCCGGGTCTCGATACTACTATTTATAGTTTGCCTGAGTTTATAGTTTGGCTGAGACTAAGATGAAAATGTTTCCTTACGTTGTGTTATCTACCAGTCACTAAAGATGGACTTAAATGTTCTCGTGTAAACTAAGTTCTCCTTATTTTTCATAACCTCACTGAGAAAAATGGAGTTGGAGAAGAGAATTTGTTATCCCTACTCAGCACTGCATCTGTACCATTTTATGGTCCCAGCAGGATCTTTGATGGGGTGAATTGGAAGAGTAAGTTATTTTGCTGATATAATTGGATTTAAGGCATTTTGCTGTGAATTTGAACTTTTTTGTAGTAGTAGTAGTAGAGCTTATAAATCTTTCAGATTAGAACATAAGACCATGAAAAAACAGTCTGGCTTGAAGGTTTTTTCCCAGTTTAGAGCTGGCTACAGAAAAGTGCATGGTTAAGTGCTTTCCTGGGTCTGGACTTCCAGTCTTTAAAGATTTGAAGTTGATCACTGCATGTCAAATCACTGCAAAGCGGAATATGGCAGAGAATTAATTTGCAATTTGAGAAGAGTTTGAATCTCAGAGATCTCGGTAAAATTTCAAAGGCGTAAGCCCATGTAAACAAGCAAGCAGATGAAAAGCCTCTAAACTTTGAACCAAAAGTACTTTCATAAAGATTTTATACCACTGAGTAGCTGGTGATAGAAAACTCACAGTGGGGCACAGTGTTCGGTTAAATTGTGAAAGAGCCATCTTTCCCTTGGGAAAAAAGCCTGAGGCAAAGGAGTGGCCTGGTTGGTTCTGGCTCAGGAACTGAACTTTCCAAGACTTCTGAAGAAAGGGGAGGGTTTTTTCCCCCATTTTCTGGATTTACCTCATTAAGAAAAGTTGTCTGAAATCAACACCCTGTCAGTTTTCTGATGGAGAGATGGGCAAGACCAGAATCACATTCTCGTTTTATTCAGCCTCTAATAAATGTTTTTCCCTTTGGTTGTGACTGAAAGCAAAAGGAGGAGCCAATGAAACAAAATGGCACTGCCTCAGTTAAAATGTTTTCTGTGCAGTGCTGCTGAGGTCAGGCTGCTGTTGCCCAGCACTCCATTTTTCAACAGCAGAAAGCTTGCATGTGCTCATACCTTAGAACAGATTCCTCCTATAAGCAGGTTCTTTCTATGCAAGCTGTTGTGGCTTTAGGATGGATGGAGAGATACTAACTTCTCTAAACATATGGAGAACAAAAGTGCAGCACAGTATCTTTGGCACATGATCCTTAATGTCACTTTGGTGGGCTGATGTTATGAAACAAGACATACTGATTGACTAATGAAGTCAGTCAATATTTTTGCCTCTTGTGGTGGAAAACACATTTCCTTGTAGACCTGCTGATGATTAAAAAGCAGACAGTGTTTACATGAGTAATCCCTCGTCTGATCTTTGAGTTCTCTTGATCCTGTTAACAAGTCTGAATTAATAATGGCAGAGAGTTATCTACCAGGATGCCAAAACATTCTGGTGTCATGATATGTTGCAGTGGGTGCTTATCAAGTTACAAGGAGGGAGCTGAGGCGCCGTTGTCCCGGGTGGTGCTGATACGTTACCTATTTACATGCTGAGTTACGTTCTGTTTAAAGGCGTCCACAGCTTGTGTCTGATCAGCAGTCTGGCTGCGCTTGAGTGAGGAGTTACGGTAAGGATATCCATTGGCTGATGATAGCTGGAAAGGTAAAAATGAAGTCGGTGTTACCAGGAAAGGGGAAAGCTGTGTCAGAGAAAAGGAGAGCGAGTGGTAGATGAATCGTGGCCTGGAAGCTTTTGGTCACAATGAGGTGCACACCAAAGAAATGTTCTTCGGGCAAACCTGTATCCATGGGGCTCAGTTACAGTATAGTATCCTATTTCCTGTTGATCAGGATGTGAGGCTGATTATTGCTGCCCTTTTCTGGCCTTATTTTCTTTCCATACTTAACCAGAGTGACCTGATCCAACTGAGTTTTGAGCCAACTACTTGTTACACACCACTGCAAACTTCACAGATCCATCTCTCACTCTGAAAAAGGGGGAGGGAGAGGGAAGAGAGGATGACCAGGGGCACAAGACTAACCTCTTCTTGCAAGTGTCCAATGTCTATTTCCCAGGGAGCTCCGCGGAAGATTTCCAAGGGCGGTTCCCAGCCGTTGCGGAATTTGGGGATGTAGGTGGGGATATTTGCTTCTCGGGGCCATTCAGCTCTAGGACATGAAGTGGGGAATACGTGGTGAGATTCACAAGGAACGTGTCTCTGAAAGCATGTCAGGGAGAAGCAGGGGCATCAGGGCATCCTTCACCCTCTGACAGGGCTATAAAATTAAGCATCGTGTCTGCCTTTCTCAAGAGCTTGGGGAACCTGGTGAGATGGCAGCTCTGTCCTCACCTGGATCTGGTCCATGTCTCTCCCAAGGAGTCCCAGAGGTTTATCTCTTTTGGTGTCAGGTGTCCTCTGAGGAAATCTGTGGCGTCTTTAGAAAGAAGCGGGCTGATGACAGACCTGGCAAGCTCAGGGCCACCACAGCTATTGACAATCTGGATTAAACACACGCAAATGTGAGAGATTTTGCAGGAAATGTTCAAAATATCAAACCAGCACACACACAAAGGAACAGAAATCAAAGACAGAAAAATCAGTGGCTCTGATCCTTTGGAGTCTCTATGCCTGCCCACTCCAAAGGAAGCCAATGTACCCTCCATGGTGAGTACCTCTAAAGGCTAATTCACATTAGACTTGCACTTCCAAAGGGATGCTGTATTCCCTGAGTATCCCCGTATTATCCTTGCACTGCACTGATAGTACTTGATTGGCAGATTTTATTAAGAAAAAACAAATAGACAAATAAGGCATATAGTTCCTGACTAAGTTCTCCAAGGTATAAGATGAAAGCCAGAGGGCAAGCCTTCATGCCAAGGGATGGCCTGACTCCTTTGGGAGCAGCTAATCCTTAGATCAGCTCAGTTGTCTCAAGAAACATCAACCTAAATCTTTGAAGGAGACTGGACAGTTCAGAGGAACACAAGAATTTTCCTATTGGAGTCAAGGCAAGGTCTGATCTAAAAATTAGCCATTGTTAGAGACAGGATATATTGGAAGCTGGCACTTTAAAAAATGGAAAATCACTTGGTACTTCTGTGTCCCTTCTGGCTTCTTTTTCAAGTTGGGATTTCTGCTTCCTATTTTCCATGCAAATATTGAGCCATGTTTGCTTGAAGGTGAGATCAAGCAGATTCCCAATGGGAACCATAGCTGGCTTGCACTTTTGTTCACGGTAAGTCTTTGTTAATGGGGTGGAAAGATTCATATTTGCTAGGGTTTGTATATTTAGTTCAAGCTGGAAATCGGATCAGAGGCCAGAAGCACTGGCGTTGTTGCTTCTAGACTTTAGTGAGAAAGCTTTAGCCAGTTGTGAGCAGTCTTCTAACTCTTTTGCATAATCTAGCTGCCTGTAAGTGCAAAAGCAACATTAAAAATAAAAAGTGAGTTCACAGTGAAACACGTGAATCAGGTTTACCAGTTCCAGCGGCCCAAATAGGAAATGCACCAACTCTGACGCGCTGGGGTTCTGGATGTGCTTTCTCAGTTTGGCCTGAAAAGAGAAAGGAAACCCAGTTCAATCCTAACCTGATTTTGCCTTCTCTTTTCTGTCACATGGAGGGATTTTTGCTGACTGATATTTGCTACAGTTAATAACGCAGCCTGAAAAGGAAGGAAACTTTCAACAGTGCACTTGAAATCAGGGAAGAACAGTAAGTGATGGGGGAGTAGGAATCATTCAGTTTTAGATCATTTTTATTTTGTGTCCATTTCTAAGGGCATTGAATTTCAGGAGGGGTGGAGCACCTACTCTGTTAAAACCAGTTCTTTTGAAGCTATTTTGAGCAGAAACAGAAAACCTTGGCTTATTTTGCAAGTCTTGGTGAGGAAGGGTCAGGTCTATTGCTTCTGACTCTTGCAAAGTTGAAAATCCCACTAGTTCCCACAGAACAAGTGTTTTGCGGGGTCCCTTGGCAAATTGCTGACAAGGAAAAATCTCCACCAAGGTCTTGCCTGCAGCACCTAGAGCTACCCTGGCCACTGAAATGCTTGGTATTTGGAGTAGACTCTGGTGGGATGGAAGAGCAAATGCTTGGGATTACTTTACTGTAAGAATTGCATTTCATTAACAGCAATCAGCTAAGCTGTGGTGAGAAACCACTTCAGTTTGTGCTTCCTTTCAGCTCTTTCTTGTGTCCTGTGCTACTGGCATTGCTGCAATGGAAAACAGACTCCCTCCTCCCTACCGAAATGCAAGGCATTTTAAATGCTGGTGATTTAAACATTAATGTGGAGTGGAAAGTATGAAATAACCGATGGCACCAAGGTGACTAAAAGAAATGGCACTTCACAAGGGCTTCGCAGCCACGTGATAGCAGTGCTGGGGCAGACATGGCAGTGCTCCACCACTGATGCCCCGCTCTCCTTCTTACTTGTCCCCGGCCTCTTGCCCGGAGAGCAGCTACACTTTGTGGGTTTGTGGATACACAGGCAGAAAAGTCCAGGGCCTGAGTGCAGGGAGAGCTCAGGCACGTGAATGAATTTCCCACGTGTTAACTCCCATGCTGCTGACGGGAGCAGCAGCGGTGCTGAGCTCGGGGGCTGCGCGCCACAGCATTTGCACAGATCCACAGCCTGTCATGGGCACTTGCGGCTTCGTTGTGTGATTGGCAGGGGCCAGGGTAGGACACTAACTCCAGCGCAGACCTGTTCTGTGACTAAGGGTTTTGCTGACCACACTGACTCCACTGTATTTATCTCGGCTGTGTCAGTGGTTAAAGAGAGGTGGGATGCAACAGCCTTTATGCTAGGAGAATCCTCAGCTGCTTCTTCAGGGAAGCTAACATCCCACTGTGGATGTGTGGCATAGCCTTAGTGGGGCGCCTGATCGGTTTGTGCGAGAGCGGTGATTGCTGGCCAGAGCTGCCATCTCCAAGACTCAGTTCTTGTCCTAAGCAGGCAAAAATTATGCATATTTGCTTCTAAATGAAAAGATTGGAGCTTGGTGTCCTGCATTAAGGTTGTTTACAATCTCTGTGGTTTCCTTACTAATAACTTGTCAGGAGGGATCTTGTTAGGCTGTGTTCGCTGGGCAAGTTTCGTCAGAACTGACAGAATTTCCTTCTGGCTCGTTACCCTCCTGGTCTCGCATGCTTCACTAAGTGGAGCTGGCAGCACTGGGAGCACCTTTAGGCTTCTGCTTTTCATCCCCTTCTTAAGACCACTAAGTGGAGCTGGCAGCACTGGGAGCATCTTTATGCTTCTGCTTTTCATCCCCTTCTTAAGATGCAGCTCCTCCAGGGGAGAAAGAGAGGAGGAGCCAGGAATCTCAGGACAGTGAGGGACATCAGTTATTGTTAACCAGAGACTGTCCAGGCTGAGGCAGCTTTACAGCCGCTCTGTAGACAGAATCAGATGAGAACAATTTAAAGTAGGTAAGACTTTTTTTTTTCTTTTTTAATATTTGCAGTCTCCCGTTTTATACCTTGTAAGGATAACAAGGACTACAGCTCACAGAAAACTACACAGACTTTTAAAGGCCACAAGCAGAAGCAAATCATCTAGAGTGGGAGTGTCTATATAAGCCTTTGTACAGCTATCAGCAGGGTGGGCACGGCAGTTCTTGGCTCTCTCAGCTCACAGCTTCACAAATGCTTTAAGTCAGGACTGTATCTGAAAAGAGATCCGGGCATTGCAAGGCCCCTGGCTGCTCAGTCCCACCCTGGACTTTACGCTTCTAGTTTCAGTCTAACAACTTGGCCCAAGAAACCTGCACAAGCCTGACACAATGTTTGTTCTGGATTCTGAAGAATCTGGAATTCACACCTTTGTCCCTTGATAGTGTTTTCAGTTCAAATTTCACTTTAAATGCTTGCTACTGTGATATATGGGAAAAAGCCCTGTCACTGCATGGGATGAAAATACCCTCTGTGTCTTACCAAGAGGTTAAAAGCCAGTTTGGTTTTCTGGAAGCAGTCGATGAACTCGGCCTCACTTGGGGGTCTTGCTCGAAGAGTCAGCATGCCCTCTTTCATGAGAAGGTGGAGAGAAAGACACTTTAATTAGAGCATCCCTTTTCAGGGAAGTTTCATCTTGCTGGCATGCAGAAGACACAGCAATAAAGGATTCTGAGACTAGAATTACAAAAAATCAAGAGTTCAAGAAAACCAAAAGTCTTTCTCTGTGTTGGAGGCTTCAGTAGGCTCTGTGTGTTCTACAAGAGGTCCCCACAGACCAGCAGCACCTTCCAAACTGGTGTAGCTGCTGTTGGGTCCATAGCCATGCTGCCCCATCAACCTGGCCTTGCTGGGGTGTAAGCTGAGGTCTCCTCCCAACCTTCATCCGTGCCCCTGTGTTCCACGTTTGTTCTAGCTGTTGCACTGTACCTGCTGGCCCTTTCTTCTTGTTCTTCTTCCCTTTCTTCCTTTGGTTGAGCTGTTTGAATGCCTCTGCAGCCTTCTGAAGCCTGGCGACAAACATTTCAATGTCATCCAGAGTGCAGTTCAGGATTTGCTGTGAGGACAGAAATGCAACAAACCAAGGTGAAAGACAGCCCAAACTGCACGCAGCTGGGAAGCCTGAATCCCAGAGCGTGCTGCTCTGTGCCTGCTTCATTTCCTGGAAGAATGCACAGGAGTGGGGAATCCAGGCATGAAATTAAGCTGAATTCATCACTTTCCAAACACAAAGCTGTCTTGGTTGTGTGCTGTACTTATCAATGTGACAAGTGACCGCTGCTAATGGACGTCATGGAAAATAACCCCAAGACCAGACTGTGGGCTGGGTAGCAGCGGACCTTCTGAAATTAGCAGAGTTCTCTCAAAGGAGATTGTAACTGACCCAGTGATGGAGCTTTGCTTTTGTTCACCTTATATTTATAAGCGATAGATACCAGTTTAACAATGACTAGATTATGCATAAAATGTCTGCTCATGGAGGAGCCCCTTGCTTCCTTCCTCTCTTCTCCCTCTCCTTCTGCCTATTGACTGTGCGCCATTCTTGTTACCAACCGTTTCTTTTTCAATCTTCTGTGCTAAGATGGCTCGGGACTCTTCGTGGTCATGAGAGCTGGAGCCTCGTCGTTCATAGTCTGCAAACAAGGCAGGGAGAGAAAAATACATTTACTATCAGAGGTTGAAAATAGGCTCCATTAAATGCAGGGACCCATGGGATGGTAACTCCCAGCTTGGTTGTTTATTCTGGGTTATGAAAGTGCCTCAGGAGATCACAAAGAGCAGGAGGTGATCAAAGTTGCCGACTAAATCTTCCAAGGTCACAGCACCTGCCCGCCAACCTCTGTGTCGATACGCTGCCTGTTTTCAAATATAAGCGGTGAATGAATCATGAAGAGCATCCAGCTGTCAGCTACGGGCAGAGACCTGCAAGCCCCGGTCGGCAGATGCTGTGAGTCACTAACTCCTTTGCCTTTGATGCATCTAAGCTGACTTACACCTGCAGAGGAGCTGAAGAGCCACTGTGCACATTGCAGAGCACTCCACATGTACGTAAAGTGCGATTAGATTCACTCCCGCTCTCTCTTCTAACCTCTAGCTCTCTGCCCAAGCTTCCTTGTCCCAGAGATACCAGTTTAACTAAATAGTAGTTGAGAGAGAAGAAGACCTCGAAGTGAATGCAACTGTCACTTGCTAGAAAGCAGCATGCCAGGAATTCTGCATGACTGATGTTTAGGCAGGCCTGTGCACTAACCAGCGTTTTTGTACAAACTTGTGTGCAGTCTCTCAAGTGTTTTTAGTAAAAATCCTCCTGCAATAAAAAAAACACAAGCACCTCCCAGCTTTCAGAAGACAGACACTTGGTGAGGGGGTGATATTTCAGTGTGAACAATTGCTTGTGTGGTCTCTTGTGAAAAGAGTAACATGTCAGCTCAGTGATACGGGTTTGAAAGGGCTGATACAGCAGGTGTTTGGACAGCAGAATCTATAAAGTGGGAGAACTGGGGAGGCGGTTTTGGCAAAGGACCGCGAAAAATGTACGTCATCTTTAAGTGTTAAGATGAGGTGATTAGTTTTGACAGGTTTTGTAGAAAAAGCAATACGGCGTGTTTCAAAGGAGAAGCAATCTCAGCAAGCAGGCATCATTCAAGGCTTTCTCCTGTCGCCTGCTTTTGTGCCAGGCTCTGTGTTCTTAGATCCAGAAATCCTGCCTGGGTAAATGCCCAGCTCTGCTGATATAAGCAACGGACTTAAAGCTTTATGCTAAGCATCCTGGGAAGGGCAGAGTTAAGGGTGGGCCGTTTCATTAAAAACTGCTGTGCATCAGAATATACATGTTTATACATGTCCAGATTTAAAATATGGATCTTATTTTCATGATGCAAAACTGGACCTGAAATAGGCTCTCCATTCAGGAGGCCAGAGCAGCTGCTTGGCTTCAGATCCCATCCCAGAGAAATGAGTGTTTTCTCTCCTCGGCTGGTGTTTGGAGTTTCTTATAGTATCCTGATTACGTGTTTTCCTTGAATCTAGAAATTAATTCTAAGAGAAGGTGGTACAGTAGGCAGTGCTAAGAAAGGCTTACAGTTTGCTCGTCATTTTAGTCAATTTGAGCTTTTATCAGAGAAAGAGCTTATTTCTGTTACTTCTTTCTCCAAAGAGAAATACAAGTTTTTTCAAGCCAGCTGAAACGGGCTGAAGTCAGGATTTGGAATAAGATTTTAGATTAGCACATGAGAGAGGTGAGTTCAGATCTGCATTTCCACACTCAACTCTAGGAGAATTCATGCAAACCATTTGATTTCTGAGGGTGCCATCTTGGCTCCTGTGAAGTCAGCAGAGCCAAAAATCTGCCTTTCTGACCAGGTCTGTCTTGACTGTACGTTTTAAGATCACCGGTGCCTGGTCCAAACTTCATGTGATAGCTCAGTTTTATGAGGGGCTTTCACCTCTTTTGGGAATTTCAGTATCCCCAAAATATAGGTCTCGTTACAAGGAGCTTCTGATTTATTGAGCCGTCGTTGAGCAGAAGATGCCTACTGCTAGCCCAGTGGGTACAAATGTTTGCTGTGGCCCAGTTTTTAGGCATTTATAAAGCACAGCCAGAGATGCAACAAAATGTTGTGCCTTTAGTACATATCTGTGTTGCATTATAACACTGTGAAAAAACACTGGGCTTCCCTGTGCTCCAGCAATTCAGGGCCTGAAATGACCACAGGCCATTTCAGGAGGGTTGGCTGTCCAGGCTAATGAGTTCCCCGTCCCCAGGACAGACTTGCTGAGTGCTCCCAGTACCTGGATCGTGCTGGGAAGGGGGTGCCACCCGGTTCCTGTTCATCGCTGAACCTCGCATGTCATGCTGGATTGGGATGGGAGCCGGCCCTTGTGGCGGTGGGAGGATGGATTGTCTCTGCCTGATCTTTTCTTGGTTTGCTCTGCAAGGGAAACAACACAGAACAACCCTCTCAGTGGCTGACGATCCTGTTTCTGAGAGACTGGTGTGTGAATGCACCATTGTAAATGGGGCTGTTTTGTTGTGGGGTTTTGGGGGGTTTTTTTTTGTTTGTTTGTTTGTTTTTGGTTTTAACTCCCAGCTGTATCCTGCAGTACTTACTTGAGTGTCTGTGGCCGTATCTTCTTCCCATGCTTGTGGTCTGCCAGGGCACTTTCTATGTCCTCGTGAACCATCTCCGCCTCAAAGATAAAACAGGGATGTTTTTAAGGGCTTTGCTTTGGGAAGGATTGAGGACTCTAAGTGGGCAAAGGAAGAAGGGGCTGGCAGACAGCTTGGAGCATATTTTGTTCTCTGTTTCACACCAGCAAGGAGGGCTCTGCTCACCTCCACCTCGTCACAGTTGAAGAAGTGGATGTCAGGTTTGTGCTGCTCCGAATCCTGACACACCAGGAGGAGGATGGAGGAATAGCGCATCTGATTCAGCACCGTTTGGCAGTGCTGGACTGTCGGGAGAGGGAAGTCCTCCAGCTCCTCCTGGAAGAGAAAGAGGAGGGGGTCAGGCAATGGGGAACTATTGAACTGATGGGGAGTGGTCCTGGGATCCTGTGATCCTGGGAACTCCTGGGATCCCTGTTTGAGGAGAGAGACCTGGCAGAGCTTAATGGGGAACTATTGAACTGATGGGGAGTGATCCTGGGATCCTGGGAACTCCTGGGATCCCTGTTTGAGGAGAGAGACCTGGCAGAGCTTGTGCTTCTCAGCAGTGGTTTGCTGGGCTCTTGAAAGATACCTGTCAAGGTTTGCAGAGGGGCTGTGGCTTGGGACTGCAGAATAGGAGAGAGGTGGATTGCAAAGAGAGGTGAGCTTTTGTTCTCCTCTGAGCCCTGAATATGGGGCCCAGCGTGAGACTTCAATAACTTGAGCCTTGTTGCTCATCATCATCTTTTTGCTGTGCTCTACCTGTACCAGTACACTTGCCATGCATCCCAGCAGAGCACTGGGAGGAAAGATGCTTTCTGTGAGGGCCTTACCCTCCCAGTGTCTCCTTGGATGACCTTGGGCTAATATTCTTTAGTCCCTCATTGCTAAAATCAGGGCAGTACCATCCCTCTCCCACTATCTGGCTGTTCTTTCCCCTCAGATTAGGTGCCCTGTGTGCATGTACATGTATCGCCTGTCAAAATGGGGCACTGTTCTCGGGCAGGTGATCCTGCGTGTTATTTTAATGCAAGTAATATGTCCTTCCCTCTCTGCTTATGCTTTATGCAGATCTCTGTGGACCTGTAAGTCTGCATCACTCCCACAGAAAGCAGTTTGACTGTTGGCCTGAAGCACAGCTCAAGGTATCTTTCACCTGGAGTATCTGTGCTCTGGAGATGTGAATAAATCATCCCATACCTACCTGCCCTTTGAATCAGAGTCAGCCAACCCTCACACACCCAGGAGTGGATTTTGGTAGTGATTCGCCCTTGTTTGGGTTCCTTAGAAATGGCCCTCCCAGGCAGAATGGGAAAGGCACGCACTGCAACCCGTGCGTCAGCCTGTGGGTAGCTCTCGCAGAGCTCTGGGTACCTGCGACTCGCAGTCCAGCAGGCGGATGGACTTGTCGTTCACTTGCAGCAACATCTCCTGTGTCCAGATCTTCTCTTTTGAGCTGAGCAAGATGAGTTTTCGAATAGCGTCGTCCACCGTCACGATGGACTCGCTCTTGTCCATGACGAACGTGGCCAAGTGCTGAAGTTGGGAGGAAAGGGGGAGAAAACAGGTGAAAAAGCTTTGATGGTGTGTGTACCATAAATCAGTGGTGAAACCATCTCTAAAGGCTTGAACTACTGTTTGTCTGCTCTTTAGAGCACAGGCATGAAAGAGTCGCTGCAGAAAGTGTACGTTCTGGTTGTTAGTACCAGCCTGTCCGTAGTGGCGAAAGATTAGGGTTTTGTAATGCAGCAAGGGTTTTCATAACGAGTTTCACCACTTGCATATTTATCTCATCATATGTCAATTCTATCAGCTCTGGCCCCCGTCCAGCAGCGCATGTTTGCAAATGCTTTGTACACACGAGTTAGTCCCCTGGCTTTTCTGGAACTGGCTTGGAAGTTTAAATACAGTAGTTAAACTTCACTTGCCAAGCTAAAAGCACTTGCATTTTGCATGTCTCACATAGCAGATCTCCCTGCGTGGAATTTGTCCCAGACAAAGAGCTCACACGAGCCATGGGCAAACGTTAGTCCTCTGTGCCGAGGTGGGATCCACGCGATGTATGGGCTTCGGCCAGGTCCCCTGCCCTGGATAATTCAACAGGCAGCACAGCTGCACCAGGAAGCTTCTGCGCTGCAAAGCTGTCTGCAAGACAGCTCCAAACCTGGCAGCTGGCTCCGCACCAGCCCTTCAATCCCCTCATGTTACCTTCCCCCCAGAAGTACCCAAATCAGCCTTCATGGTAGTGAAAATTGACATCGCTGACTGTAAGAAGGGATTTTTTGCTACTTGCCTCTGTCCTGCACTGTGGCTTTGCTAGGTTACCCCGGTTTTCCTCCCTCCCTCCCTCCCCCTGTCTTATAATTTTTTTCCCACTACCAGCCTGGCTTCCATGGTGTCCTCCCTCTTGCGCTGCCTTGTGTGTGCTCTTGGGCCGGGAGCAGCTCAGGTAACGTCCCAGACATGACTGTGCTCGCGTGCTTTCCCATCCCTGCTCTGTGTCCTGAAGCGTGTGGCGATCCAAGCCTTGCACTTGGCGCTCGTATTTACAGAGAGTTTGTGTAATCGAGCTGCACCTGCAGGCCTTGGACTGCTCCTGGGGCCCCGTGCAAGGGGAATGCTAGGCAGGGCAGGGAGGCAGCTGCAGGAAGAAGTGTGCTGCATCCAAATGGTGTGTGTGCCCCCCCCAGCAGTGGGTGAAGGCCACTCCAGAAATCCAGGTAATTTATTTATCTCCACTCTGATCAGCAGCCACTGAGAGCAAGCACTGCTCTCTGTGGATGGGGAGAACATGCGTCTGCCAGCAGAGGGGATTGCAAGGCAGGAGAAGCTGGGAGCCTTGCCGGCTCAGAGCAGCCTGTTTTCCGTGCAGTTGTCCCTGTGCGAGTGACAGCCCAGCCAGACCACGTGTTCAGGTGACAACAGGGGAAGGGAAAAAATTCAGGAAGGAAAAGGAAATGGTAGTTTCACCTTGTTCCCTTTGCCACCCTGGTGTGTTTCTGGTGAGGAGAAGGGAAGGAGAACATGCCCGACTGGGAAAGCGGCTGAAGCCTTTCCCTGCCGTAACCAACTTTCTCCAGAAGAGAAAGGCAGGAGGTTTTCGGATGGGCAAGTTATAGGCCTGACCAATGCATCTGTGCCGCAGCTAGTCCAAGGGCCTGCTGCCGGGAGGCTTATCAGGCCAGGTCCCAGCTCTTTCTCTCTTCCCTGGAATATCGATGGCCCATCCACGAGCCCCGCTTCCCCTACTCAATAGCATTAGGGTAAATAATATGTTGCTGCTGAATCAGCTGTGGGTCAACTGAAGAGCCATGGAGCAGATTAACGCTTCTGGTAGGGAGACCCAGGTACTGGGGGTAGAGCAGATGCGTTACACGTGTTCGCTGTGGGTCTGGGGGCAACAGTGCAGCAACCCCAGAAACAGTTCTGCTGGGCATTTAGTGTTTGTGTGGATGGCAGCAGTGGAAACTCCTGCTTGTCTTTGATGCACAAATCCTGCAGCCTGGTTTCAAAGCAAGAGCTGGAAAAATGGGGTGTGTTTAAAGCAAGCCACAAATTGGCACGTGAAATTTGGAGAGGCTCTTTGTTGTCTCTAGTTCAGGGATGAGTTTTGCCTGGCTTTTCTCCCTCTGATCCCTTGTCTTTGTGCCTTATCCCAGTGATCAGACACAACCTTTTTAGGGTTCAAGCAGTTTCTTTCTGATGCTGATTCTTTGCCACAGTGGTGCCGTATCAGGGGTCAGGGTCTGGCATGGCACAAAAAGACAGTCTTTGTCCCAGAAGACTAGCAAGCAAGAGCTACAAAACACGAGAAGGAGAAAGGGCTAGGGGAAAAATCTGTCTGTTCACAGTAGCAGTCTCAGCTCATGAGCTGATTAAATAACCCAATGGGTAGTGTCCACAATCAGCGTGTGCCTCAGAGGGCGATGGAGGAGGATGAGAGTTGCTTGGGAAGGAAGTCCTTTTTTAGCCGTAAAAGCCCAGGGAGACACAAAGCGGGAAGCAGACTAAGAGGCGGCAAAAGCTGACCCTGCTCCAGCACCAGGGAGGGAACCAGCACTGTCCTGCAGTGGAAATAGGTTATGAAGGGACCTTGGAGAGACCGTGAACATTGGGGTCTGATACCGACCAGATGGACCTGAGGAGGATCGGTGTACTCAGAGCATGGAGCCTTGGATGGTCTTGTTGAAGCACAGGCAAGAACCGTTGTTGCAATTGGCTCCAGACAAGGTGTATGCAGGGGGAAAGGCTCAGATTTAAAGCACTGGTAGCCCTGACAGGCAGAAAGGGCTGAGTCTTTAAACATGATGGTTGATGGTGGGAATTAGGGGTGGAGAGGATTTGGTGACCAATTTGTTGTTGAGGTGGTTGTTGGGTAATTCACAAAGACTGGAAAGAGCAGAGAAGAGGATAAACACTGCAGAGTGCAAGACCCAATCCTGTGTTCATAAAGCAAAGGTATTGGGTGAGGCACTGTCTAAATAAAACTGCTGGCAGGTATTTGAGCTGAAAGCTGAGATTAGCCATGCAATCAGATATGAAAAACATACTCAGGTATATGTTACTGTAATTGTAAAATAGTGCACAAAAAGGTATTCGCAAGGTCAATATTATCTGTGCAGAGGTGACAAACCCTCTGCTTTCTGAGCAGTGGAGAGAGTTGGTTTATACCTGATGACGGGCATTCTTATCTGTTCTATTATTTTAACTGCCAGGTTTACAATCTTCATAAATTCCTTCGTTGTTTATTGTTACATAAGTTAATTTTCATGGAAGGGAAAGCTACTTGTCTAACTCAGACTCATTAGAGTATTTTTTTCTTTTCCATTTTCTTTAGATACTGGTGGCGTAAGAGGGAGAGAAGCTTGCTACTGTCTTTGATTTATCTCATTAAAACCTCTTTTCATCCAGATGGATATTCAAATATAGTAGCTTTTGTGAGAATGGGCAATGACTCCGTCCACTATTAAACTTTGATCTGTTTATAAATTACTTCAAAGGGTGTAAAATGCCTCTTGTGAGGAAATCTCTTCCTATCTCACTGCCTGACACTGAAATCCTGTGTGCCTTGGTCAAAGGTCAAGGTAGAGGCTCACAAATGGGTGGCATATGGCATAATTAATGAAGAATTCATGTACATGTCACTGTTTAAAGTCCCTTCTCTGCTTCCATGAGTGACTTTATTTGGTAGGAGTCACTGATGGGGATGGTTGGCAAGGCCACCGACGGGGCGGCTGGCCATCGAGTTAGTTTCTCTGATGGAAACCAGGGCCTCTTTCCAAACAAGCATTTTTAAAAGTCTAAATTTAATTTTAAGCAACTGAACAGGCTCCTGTATTTCTAACCGTGTACATAAGCTCTCTGCTGGACTGGGTCTTAAACCAGAGAAGAGGGGGCCCTCTCTACTGAATATGACCCTCGTGAAGTGTTTTCCTTTCTCAGCTTGCCCAGTTTTCCGTGATGGTCCAGCCTCAGATGGGCACCTCTGTTCCTGTGGTGCGGAGGCCACTGGCCTGCACCGGCGTGTTGTATTCCAAGAATCGCCGGGCCCGGGATGGCCAGGCTGACTCCTCTTTTTTAAGTGGATGTCTGTGACACTGGGAGATGAATTTGGCGTAATGCCTGTCATGGTTGAAGAGTTTTGAATTACTTGAGAGGACACAGTAGCTGAGGGAGAGCTGAAAGATGATAGTCGATGTGGTCTCTGTTGTTTGGGCAGATGAGTTGCTGTAACCCTGCTTTTAACCTGCCTGTCCGTGCGGATCAAAAAGGGCTTGAAGCATGGGGTGATGCGAGGGACAACAACTCCCACTATTCTCCTTCAAATGCAGAGGAGGAAGAGAGGACAAGAGCTTCTCCATTTCATGTTTTCTTGTACAGAATTTCCCTTGTCTTTTTAACATCCGGTGGGTTTTTTTTTTTTTCCCCATTCTGCTTTCCCCAATTACTTAACACTTTAATTTGCTGAATCTTGATTATTCAAAAGGAAATAAATTTTTGATAAATGATAGTTTCGTATGCCATTTTCAATTTAAATTTAAAGTAGAAAAGAGGTCCATATGTAATTAAACCAACTTCATATTCTTTAATAGTCATTTTTGTCCTCCCTTCTCGTCAAACATTTCCCATCTGCAGGCTGTAATGACACAAAGTGTCAGGCTGAATGACTGATTAGTGCTGGCTCCACAGCAAGTCCTTGAGACAGTGGCCTCCCAAGCACATGTCACACCTCATAGCAAGAGGACAGAGTTGCTGACCTCAAAATGTTCCCAGACACTGGTCCTAGATGTAGCCCAGCAAGGGAAAGGGGACAAGCCAGGAACTTCCAAGCCTTTGGTGTAGGTCAGCACACTGGACATGCAGAAGCAGTGACCGGTCTCTGTTTCTCTCCCCATCCCCAAAACAATCTGTCTAATGTGGATGTCCCTCCCACTCTTCAGTTCAAAGAAACGTGTGGGATCCAAGGGAGGGAGAGTTAAATGATCAGGGATGACCCGTGTCACGCAATGTGGGAGAAGCCATTGAAGTCTGGACCTGGCTTTTCTACAGGATTTGAGCATGATTCAGAGTTGCGCCATGGAAAGCTGTTTGTAGCCTTGTGGGAGGATCTGTGAGCCGTACCAGAGTCTGTTCGCTTGGACTTTCAAATAACGTCATACCATAATGGAACAACTGCTGCTTTCCAAAGCAAGGAGTTGGAGAGGAGCAGCAGAGAAATAGAAGACGGCAGAAGAAGGAGAGCTGGTATTGATTTTAGACAGAGCAGGCAATATGTAAGAGGAAAGAAGAGAAAGGAGAGGGATCCAGTCCAGCCTGAAACCTCGTAGGAAGGAGTGGGGTCAGCCTTGGGAGAGGAGTTGTCTCGGGACTTGTGCTGCTCTCATAGTCCTTTAGTTTATCTCTTCAGAGTGTCTGTGGTGTAGAAATTCCTGTGCTCCACCTACACATGCTCTTTACTTTCCTACCCTTTTGTGCTCAAAGGAATTAGATGAGAAGCCCAGATGACCCCAGCTTTGTAGCATGTTACATGTGATTGAGAGGACTTGTGTGGTCTCAGTCCCGGGTCCAGGCTGGTGGGACCATGGTGACGTGCAGCTTGAGGAAGGAAATTACAGCGGATGGCTAGGTCTGAAAGTGTGTCCTACAGTCCAGGAGCTAGAAATAATGAGTGGACCCAGCTGGGTGGGAAGCTCTGTTTGCCTCTCCCAGGGTGTGAAGAGCGACACTTGCTTATCGTAAGAAGGTTCCCAACTCCTCTTTGGCCTAATGAAGGTCCAGGACAAACGAAACACATTGCATTACCAGCATCTATCACTGACGTTGGCCTTTCAGCCCCTTAACATTTCATTGCATACTCACCTGCACGTGGTACTGTGAAGTCTCATGCATAATGACATTGGAATTGGAGTATTTTTTCCTTTGTTCTGCAAAAAAAAGAAGAAAACAAGCCTTCATTGTAGTGGCTCTTTATCGGTATATCAGGGTCTGAGAATTACAGCGCTCATGATGACTTTCTCGTGGTCTCTGAACTTCCAGCTTCAGTTGGAGTATTGGGAATAATAAGACATATTAAGGATATTAACTTTTGTAACAAGGATTGGCAAATTGGGTGTGTAGGGTACACATTCAAGTTGTATCCCTTAATGCTGCTGATAATTTGACTCCTGGAGGTCAGCACCATTTGTGGAGGAAATTAAACCTAGTGTAAAGGAAAGCCCCCGACAACGAATGGTTAGGGAAGCTCTGGGAAGAGGGCTGGGGAGGTAAGGAGTGGCTTGAGAAGGCTGGCAGAAGGCTATGACATGCACGTGGCAAGAAGAAAAAATCCGACCACAACCCACCAGTTTAGACATAACAGCCCTTTGAATCATCCTCCAGAATAGGAAGGGCTGTAGGGATCGAGGCCAGCCAGTCAGAAACTGTGTTTCTTGTACAATATTTTTATGAGGCAAAAGATCTTCATTACTTCCTGCATTTCTTACTGGAAAGCGGCAGTAAAGAAAAAATAGCTTGGAATTTCATGAGGCTATTGAATATAATCCTGCAAGAATTTACCCTGCCAGCTCTTAGTCACTGTTTAATTGGTACTTGTCCAGGGATTCCGTATAAATACTTTGCTTGAATAGCAGAGGAGTAACTATCCAGGCCCAGAGTGATCTGGGAGCGTACAAACTGAAAACATCTTCCTCACCAGCAGAGGACATCCTCTGATCTCTGGTTTGATTAGAAAATGCAATGGCAGTTCTACATGTTTTCACCCTTCTTAAAGCCTGTGTTAGAATATCCCGTCCTCTGTAGCAACAGTCACAACCAAGGGGATTTCATAACGCAGCAAACGTTAGGGCTCCTCGTGTTTTAAAGTAGTATATATTAATCTTAGTTGATTTGTGGTTTATTTCAGTGCTCTCTTTAATGCCTTCTCTGGGATGTTGGCTTCTCTCTTGTTTTCCCCTTTTCTTTGAACATGGAACATGTGGTCTCATTTAATAAATTTCACATTAAAGAGGCTGGCACCTAAAAAATTAATATCCTCGAAGGAACCCATCCAGTCGGTTTCTAAATTTTTTGGTTAAGTGGCGCAAGACCCAGGTAAAACTTTCCAAAATGTTTCTTTAGTTTGTATTTTTAGCAGCATGTCACATTTTAATTGAAAAACGCTCCCCAAAGACTTACAAGAAATACTGGTAATACTTTTGATTGCTGAAAATTGAAGCTTTCCTTGTAATCAAAAGAAGGTGACTTTTTTTTTTCTTCAATAAAAAAGATGGAAGACTGAAGATAAGTCTATTTCAAAGTGCAGACAGTGAAATGATGTGAATATAAAGGAGAGCAAGGGCAGGGCAGTAACTGGAAGGTGCTGGAGGTGGTAAGGAGCTCTGGAAAGGAGAAGGGTCTGCTGGAGTAGTGACCATCCTGTGATGCCCCTGGAAGGCCTCTGCCCATGTGGACGGGCTAGGGGCAACCAGGGCTCTGTCTGGTCACTCCTTTAGGTGATAATTTGAGAAAGAGGATAGCAGCCTAATGAAGGTGCTGGTGATGTAGCTCCTCCCTAGAGACACCATGGTTTGTTTGACTTTTCCTTTCGCTGTCCTCTGAAACTGCAAGTGTTTTGCATCCTTTTAGTTTTCAGGACAAATACTGGCCTATGCACTGAGTTCCTCCCTGATTTGCTTCTGTGCAAATCCTTTCCCGTCTGGGTAAATGAGCACAGCTCAAGGGGTTGAAGGAGCTCAAGCGGTAGTTCTGGCTTTACCACTGCTAGTGTCTTGCCTTTTTTTTTATCTTTGTCTCTTGTGTAAAACAGGGCGGTGACTATTTCCTATCTGTTGCTGCTACTATTGTACTAGTGAAGTTACTGTCCTGTTTCTTTCCACCCGGGAAGTGGCCTCTTAGTGCCCAATCTGGCCAGACACAGTCCCCCTCCGCATTGCCTTCCTGCTCTTGGTTGTGAGGCACAAGTTGCTTTGCAGACAGAGAAGCCACCAGCCCCAGCCCCGAGGAGTGAGCAACGTGGGCTTACTTAGAGAAGTCAGCCAGGTTCTCCCTGCACCCTGGCCACCTTCAGCAGGGACAGGAGCAGGCTCTTGCCTGGCGGGCGTGCATTGCCATGAAAGAAGGAAGAGTGATGAGTGTGGGTGATAAGAGCAGGGATAAAGGGGGAGCAGAAGGGAACAGCACCTGGTCTGCTTTTGTGTTGTTTTCACGTTTGTGAACAGACTCCTTAACAGACCCTTTACAAGTGTATTTTGTCGAGGTTGCTGTGGGAGTGACAGTGGTGGGACTCCCAAGTTGCTGGTCAAGGAGAGGAGCCGAGGTGTGTGGTGGACACACCTGCCCACCCCGTGGGTCTCCTTCCTTGGGTCTATGCATGGGAAGAAGTCCAGCAAGGGGGACAGAGGGGTAGAGGGCACAACAGGGCACCCACAGAACGGAAAGCTATCATGGTCAACACAAGTAGTGACTGAAGCAGTGCTGCTCTGACAGCCTTTTCCTTCTCTTCTGACTATATGCCAGCAAAAATGGTCTCTGACCGCTTCACCCCAAGAAAGCGCAGTCCCCTTGTTGCTCCCAAACCATGGATTGTTTTCTACAAGATCTACTAAGCCTGTCCTTTCCATCTTCTCCAAAGCTACCAGGAATCACTGAGACTCCTGCAAATGGGCAACATCTCCAGCAGCTGCCTGCTGCTGCTTCTGTTCCTGCTCCACACTAGTTCAGACCATGCATCCTGTCCGTCTCTTCCCCTGAGCTCACTTGAGTGAACTTGTCCCACAAACAGTTGCACAGGGATAGCAGAGGGGTCAGTGGATTGCAGCAATGGGATGGAGAAATGAGGGTCAGGATTGGAAAGGATGGAAGCTCCTGAAGCTGGTGGTAGTGATGGAGGAGATGCGACACTGAATTACAGCCTGAGTGTTGGCTGGGGGGTAATTTGCCAACTCTGACGCATGTTGTCCTTTAAGCCTTGCATGCAGAAGAGTGCTAGCAAGGAGTCAACGCAGTCAACTGTGACAAGAGCAGAAAACAAACCCCAAAACACTGGTTTGGAGCTTTAGCTTAGTCCTGGGGGTGTCCTTGTATTCACTTCTCACCTGAATAGCTGTTACTTAAACCTCCTGCCAGTAGATCCGGTGCAAAAGAAGAAGCTGGCCTGAATCTGCTGTTTTCCCAGGGAGTTGACAGGAGTTAAAATATCTTACAGACACGTGCCTCCTCAGCACTGATTGCCAGGACTTCTACCAATGTCCTTCCTCATGAGTGTGCGTGCCCCTGCGTGTAACATGTAGCTTCATGCCTAGATTTTTCCTGCCTAGAATGGGATAGCATTTCGAGCCAACCCATCCAGCCTCTGTGAATGCTCCTGTTTCAGGTTACGTTGATTTAGCTCACACCTAGTGGGAATTTGGGGTTTCTCTGGCTGTCCTAAAATCAGAGAACTGGCGCGGAGGGCAGTTAAAAACTGGTTATGGTTGAAAAAGCTCAAATCTCTCAGGTATATTAGACTGTGGGTCTTTCGCACTGTTTTCTTGCTAAGTGTCTGTGAGGTGCTCTCGCTCCTGTGACCTGCCCTGGTTTGGGGCTGCGAAATGCTGGTCAGGCACAAGGGGCGGTGGAGTTGGGATTGGAGCTTGGGTCATGTGCAGGTTTGCAGCATGCTTTTGCTCTGGGTTCCACCTTGGTAGTTTGAACCTTTTCCCGTAGATTCCCCTTGCATCTCTGTTACGCTTTTATTTCTACTTGGCTTCCATGGAAGGAGGATGAGCATGTCCCTGAGCTCAGTCGGGCCTTGGGGGGTATTACCAGCAGGTGTCTCTCCAGAACAAGCACTGGCCTGAAGGGCAGCTTTCCTTGGGATTTAGCTTGGGGTTTTCACCTTTCTTCTTGGTCAGCAGAGAAGAGCTTTTAAATTGAGCTCCTCTTGGTACTTCTCCGACGACGCAGGGCTGAGCACTGGTAGCAAACCTGTCTGTGGCGCAGGAGCATGCTAAACATGCAAAGATAGCCCAGAGACAACAGACGTGAAAAGAGATGCTGCTGCTTTCGTTCGGAGCCTGGCAAGGGTTGATAGAAGCTGATTTCTAATGCTTTTTAACACTTTTCTAGCACTCTTCAGCATGAGGTGTGCCATCAGCTTGGCAGGACACCTGAGTACTTTGCACCTTGTACTCTCTGTGCCTGTGACTGGAAACACAGCAGTGTGCTTTGCCTCTGCGGCTAATCCCTGGTAGCCCTGAAGTGGCTGCTGTTTGCAACTAGAAATGATTTATTGGGGGGCATGCTGGCAGAGGCGTTAATGGAGCCTGCAGGTCTCCAAGCTAGTGCCTTTTACACCGCCAGCACTGACTCAGAGGTGGAGCGAGGATAGTTTGGGGGGAGAAGACCTCAGACACCCATCATAGCTCGCTGCTCAGCCTTTAGCTTCCAGAGTGACCTTGAGTTAATTAATATTTCAGCACGGCCACTTCGCACCTTAGGCTCGCATTGAAGGGTCAATGGCATTTTCTGTTTGCTGTGTGTTTTAATTGCAGTCTGCCCTACTTCAAATGTGGGGCAAGGTCTGGAAGAGGGCACACGGCAACACACACCACAGGGATTCGTGTCTGATGTGAGTAACTTTTTTTTCTTTCAGTAACCTCAATTTCCTCACCAAGCATTTCTCATGTAAATAGATGACACTAATGGAAATGAGAACACCGCGTCTGTGTGGGATGGAGACAAATTTGGATTTTAAGACATCCTGTCCCCTCCTTTGTAGAAGGGAGTGGAAAAGGCTGAAGTGATCGGTCTGGAAACAAAGGGTTTTTACGTTAGGACAGGCAAATGTCTCCAGCCCTGAGAGGAAGGGTGCAGAGCCATGTCAAGAACTGGTAGTCCCTGAGGAAAGGAAGGTATACCGGGGGGATGGGGTTTCAGAGGGAGGCTAGCATAGGACTGTGTTTCTGGTAGAACAGCCTACCAGACTGTAGGCTGGCTTTCTGGTAGGAGAACCAGACTGGCTTTCTGGTAGGAGAACAGTCCATGGAGCTGTAGCAATGGTCAGGGCTGTGGCTGGTTGCCTACAGGCTTTCTGGGGTCCCCTCTGATGCCTTTGCCCCATCCTCCAAGCTCAAAGAAGCTGCATGTGTCGTGGTCGGGGAGATCTCAGCATGCACCTCTGAGAAATGTTTGGAGAAGCCCTTGGAAATCTTGGGAACCTGTCAAAACCTCAGAGCTCTGCATAGCCCTGCTTCCCATCACCTGCACTTGGGGTTAAGCTCACTTAAAGGGGCCAAAGGCCCCTTTAGCCATTTGTAGCCTTTTCCAGACAGAGGCAAGCAAGGGAAAAAATGCAGATCTTCCCTCTGTCTCTGTTGATTCTCCCTGGGGGTATTTCTGCATTACCTTTAAAAGTCGCAGAACTAGAACATTTTGCCTCTCTTTTGTCTCAGAATGCCATGCAAGTGACGTCCCAGAAGCTGCCCAGGGTGAGGAAGGGGGTGTTTCTGCATGTTCTTTTTCCTGTCCCTTTCTTTAAGATGCCTGCTTGTTCCTTCTCGTGAAATCCCTTCTGTCTCATTGGCTTCTACCTGGTCCCCACACCCATGGAAACTTTTATTTTTGTGTTTCCTCCTGGCATCTGCAAATATAAATACGCAGCCTGAAAACAGCCAGACTTTCCGGGGACAGCAGGGTGCCAGAACACTGAAATATCCTTTCCTAGCATTTAGTTTTGATTTAAACACAGGAAGGAGTAAAGATCCAGGCTGCAAATCACAAAATAGTCAGTCTTAGGCCACTATCCGAGAAGTGTGGTGCTTTAAAAAAGAGAGGGTTTTTTTGTTTGTTTACTTCAAAGCAATATGGTGAAACATTGCAGACCTTTCCGTGGATGCATCATTATTTGCCCTAGCTTAAATGTGTCCCTGGTTGTGGTGGGCTGAACTGAATATGCCACGCACAGAACGATACCTGCAGG